CACGACTCCTTTTAAGTAAATATATCCCACTTCTGGGCTCGAGCCCATTGTCTGTTTAGTTGAACCTATATATTTCTATCTCCTCATGGAATCGAGTTTTTACATTATCACTCGAACATTGCGTTCTTCAACGTCTTCTGTAAAAAAAACTTGGTGCTACTGTTGTCTTCTCGAAAATGTTGACCGATTTATGAATTTCTGTGGTTTCACTCTTAGTGCTTCTTGACGTAATGTTTGGCTAGCAACGTCTACGTTTCCAGTTCGAATTTCCACTCGAACGCTGGTTCGAGCATTCAAGACATTTTCCGTGCAACCGCGTAGTGGCGAAAAGTCTTTACATACTAGTAACAATACTACCGATATCTTTGTGGCTTTCTCTCGGTGTTCAGTTCACCCTCTGATGAAACATCCACTTTAAGTTAAATGGTCGGAGCCGATTCATTTTACCTCATTCGGCCACATTATTGAAGGAGAAATAGAGTAGCTAAGACGAGAACTCCCCGAGTATCCAGTGGTTGCAATACGTCAAATTTCTATGACACTTGTCAGCTTTAAATACTCCAATTTTGTTTGCGATTGGCAATGTCATAATCGAGCTTCACGTCGAGTTAGACCACCCGGTAACCCGTCTTTACTTTCGGTTGGTTTTAGAATATGGCGAAGTATAACTTGTACGAATAAGTGTGAAGTGAATCTGCTCTCCAAGGGACCACTGAGTTATCGCTTGTCTCTTTATTCCTATGCCTACACGCTCTTATCGTCCCGTCTGCCTGTATTGAATCGGTATTCACCTTTTAGCAAGTGACATTCATTTTCGTAATATGTTTTATGGCGACCTTTTATCGATCTTCTCAGGATGAACATACGCTGACGGATCAATTGGAGCCACTTTCATCAATGACTCTGATTGGCCAATTTTTTTGTCAAGCTCTACTGCATAGCCAATTAGATTTCGTCACGATGACAGTTTTCTGGATCATCTGTTGAAGCAGTAGAGAGCACTAAGTTTATATTACTTTGAGTGCCCTTTTTGTCTGATCGAAAAAATTTGTTCTTGTTGTAGGTCATTCGACTTATTTTTCGAGTGATTTTGGCTTAGCTGGTTGTGTAATGATTTAGCGTTTGATCACGGGCCATAACAGAAGTCATTCTACTATTTTTCTCGTGGTTTATTTTCATTGCACTCGATTGACAGCTTTATAAGCACGTTCGACTGTGGTTCCTGATCTTCTCATGCTGACCTTCACATTTTTACTTAGCATACGTGCTAGACTACCATGTTTGGCCACCTTCGCATTCGTATGCCTTTTCAGTTCACCATAAGTAAGAACGGAATCTGTCCGCGACATCCTGGGTCACATACTGGACTATCGGACTTGAACTGCTCAGCTCAGTGTTCACCTGTTAAACTGCATCCCCATCCCCTCTTAGTCTTAGCCCTGCATATTCCACGGACTGTCGCGAGATGTGAGAGGTGTTTCGCCATAGATTTCGACTGTCCTTTGAGGTTCATAAGCCACACGCCTTCCTTACTATGGGCTTCTGCGATAGGTCAGTGCAAGATAGGGTCTTGGTGTTAGCAAATATCTACCTACTTTAATTTCGTAAGTAGTGCAAATTAATCCAGAACTCAATTCCCGTTATCTACACTGCACTTCATCGCCCCTTCTCCACCCAACTGTGCATTGCTGTTAACTACCTGCATTAAACTGCTTGGGCTTTTCAGCCACTAGAATTGACCGATTGAAGGCTAATCACGTTGAGCAACTATCGGAGGCTATTTTTATTCAGTCAACCGTTTCGGTCAGATTCTCAAACGCCGTTGAAGCTCCAACCAAATCTGATGCTACATCCTAACTCTTATGTCACGCTCATTCAAAGCTTGGAACTGCGTTTGTTAGAATTTTATGGATAGATCTCCACAGGCCTTTATGATTACAGGTCAAAAACCCGCCAAATACTCAGCTTTTTCTGCCTCGCAGTACACTAGAAATATCATGATTATCCGGAGCATTGGGGTTAAATGGCATAATTCCGAAACCCTGCGATCAACCTTCCACAGGTCAGGGTCGTGTAGCCATCCAAAAGTCAAAACAAGATCTTGGCAACGATCAATATCCGTTATTTGTAGATCAAAGCATCGTTTGTACTGTACGTAAGTGGAGAGTGCTAGTTTCCATTTCTTACGGCTTCCGTGGTCTATGTTAATTGGTCCATACATTCTGCTCTCTTCAGTCGACTTCTGTTCCGTTTTCGTTGTTCGTCATGAGTCGTACTTGTACGTGACAGTTCCTTTTTGTCAACGCATAACTCTTGTCTGCTTTCCCAGCCAGTCCGCTTTGCCGTTATTCGTGACAAAACTGTGCTGCGAGTACTTTGTCTTTATATGTTCCCGGTACAGCATACGATACATTAAGGTGCGGTTTACCGAATAGCTACAATTTATACATGTGCTTGCTTTGTATACGTGAGCAACCGTATTGTTAGGAAGTGTTGGAACAATCTATCACTTCTAGAATCAGTACAAATACAAATCCAGCCATATATATTACTAAACGATGATATCACACTGCAGAGCATTCGTATGTCTTCTACGGCGTATATTACGTTTGTTCAGCGCGCCCGTATGTCGAGAGACTGGTGATGAGTTTCCGGGTAACTATGTTTCTGGAACACATGAGGATTAGCAGATAAACGTCAGTATGTTGTGTTGCCGCTTGTTCCGTGCCTGCACCTTACTGATCAGACTCTTCGCTGGGAGAATCCCCCCTGTACGATGTGAGTATTTTCCGTTCCGTGCTGAGTGTAAAAAGCGTTATTTTGGGGGTTGACGGAAGTCGCTAATCCCTTCCCCGTAAGGAGTGCCCGCCTCTTTGGAATACTGTCTGCTCCCACTCTCTATCTATTTTCCGGCCCCTTTACGCTTAATTCATCGGTCGATTCTCCAATTGTTACGGTTTAAACCTGACTGGACAGTTTTGTTGCAACGTGCCATCACCACTCGGCTGGCACCATCAGTGCACAAGTTGCCAGTCTCGTGGTAGCTGCTGGTGAAGAGCAAATCCAGGACTGGCAGCAGTCAGTCACTACTAACTTACTATTTTCCACATTTGTACCTTGGTCCTTCACCTATGCAGTGTCGGTTTCGTTACCACGTGGAAGGGATTCTTGCAACTCCATTGATGCAGCGGCTATATAATCTTCAGTCTAAGATGACATTGAGCGTTTTGAATAGAACGATAAGAAAACGCATGTTACATGATGCTACCATGCTGTGTTCTCTGTTCACTTGCAAAGGAGCATTATTTCCCATTGGTTATACTGTTTTCTTGTCATTTTCCCTGGACTGCTTCCGAAAAACTACATCTTATTAGTGCGATCTATGAAGCACATTGCTAGATGCATCGGTTTGTCTAGAGGTTCTTTAGTTGATTTGATCATTTCCAGACATCTTGATGTCTGCAATCATTTTTCTTCTAAGATACTAACTGATCGATTTCATCAACTTCACAATGATCGTTCTAAAATGGTCTCTTTCTCTTCTATTCTTTCGAACTGCAGAATTTTATTTTCCCACACATCATTGTATCGTAATACTGTTTTGTCTTATCTCTCACGTTTGCTTGTTGACCCAGCGAAAGTCACTAACATGTTGCGCGAGCGCTTATTGGAGTAACAGTTCTGCTTTTTCCCCACTTTTCTACCCAAGCATGTATATTGATAATATCATCCGTGGTGGTGTAAATACTGAAAGCGAACCCATTAGGGTTCATAAAGCTTATTTTAACCCTGCTTACTATCTACAGATAACGTGAGAAAATCAATAAGTTCGAATCGGAAGGTCACATACAAGGAAAGTAGATGGTTGCTACCATTTGAAGACGTATCATGAACTCCAAGGGAGTTTGAGCGTAACAAAGTTGCTTCTGTACTCACAGTGTTGAACGGTGCTTGTTTATGGCTACTGCCCGATAAACTTGAGGACTGACATTTGTTTTACGATAGTTGCCAGTAAACGCCGACTCGGAGTCGACCTGATGACCCATTTTAACCAGGTGTTTCGCAATCGAGGAAATAGGTATCTTGTTCGTCGACACAGGTCCCGTTTGTGGCTGTCTTATCATGGTAAGAGACGCGTTTCGTATTGTGCTCCCCAATCCGCTTATATAAGCAACGGTCTGTTCTGCCGATGTAACTGTCACCACAATTACAAACAAATCGACAAACACAGTGCGTGGTGGCGGAGACCAGCTTAGTAGGCTTGACTGTGGGCGGTGGTTGCTTATTGGTTACCCAAAGACTGTGAAATTTAGCGGAACTGTATGTGCGTCGTTGTACCCGCTTAGCCACAACAGTCGTAGATAAACAGGCACTTTTGGTGCAGAAAGCGATCGGTTGTTCGATTTCTGCGGGACGGTAAGGAGATCTCACAAATACTTACGCTTAGCCATTTGCCGTACGGTTTTTGTGATGAATTGTAATTCAGCCTCGATGCATTATCAACTGCATATCCAGCGGGCCCGATTGAGTAAAGTTTTGCGAATGCATCGTTTGTATATTGAACTGGTGTACCACTGTCGAAATGTTCATACAAACCGGTCCACGTAGATTTCCGGTGACCGATTCATGTGACCTTCCGATTTCAACTTATTGATTTCTGTCACATTATCATTTGCTATACTCATTTGTACGTGAACAGAGACCACGAAATGGTCCCATCTTGCAACATGCGTGTTCTTATTGTTCTATTCAAATTAATACAGGGAAACCACTGTTTCAAATCAAACGTTTTATTCGTCATCGGATCGCTTTCCTCTGAACTGGACTTACATTTATCCGGTTGGCACTGGTACCCATTCTTTAAAGTATCTCATACGTTGTGAACCGCAACCCCACATATTCAATGATTGGCACACCTGATAGCTCACTGACTGGTTGTCATGCTTAATACATATGTACGTTATTTTTCTTATTATCAGCCCAATATTTTATCTTTGCAGCTACCTCAGATCACCGCCCCTCCGAAGTCTTAGACGTCCCGACAAGTGCTCAGTGGGAAACACAGTTGAGTGACTTCATCCTAAATGTTCTCCGTCCGCTTCACTTTGATCTCCTGCGGTGGACCCGTCTCCCCTATTTGTGTGAAGGGGATTTCAGTCAGTCGTTTTATTATCTGAACGAAGTTGTCCTGGTACTCCGAGTGTGTCCCGAAAACGCCACATCTGCTGACCTTTTCGTGTAAATCCGTACTCTTTTCTGCCTTCCCTCTCATTCAAGGTCTCTGTCATTATCCAACGCATCTGGTGCCTTGTAAATTAAATGAACCCTGGCCTTTTGGTGTGCAGACTCGGTACGGATGTTGTACCCCTTAGTCTTTCATGATTTTGGGCTTTTTCAACGTTTCTCCTGCGATGTCCCCTCCCCAGATGCCTCCATTCATTTTATGCTTGCTTCAGATGGTGTGGGTGCATTATTGCACATTGTACAACATCAATATATGATTGGTTATCTTCTCCATTCGCTTTGAATTGGCCTTTGTGTTTGGGTTGTGGGGCACAATCCAGCTTGAAAGAATACTTTACTTCGGTCATTCTTATCCTTGAAATCATGTCTGCAATGGAAATATTTGTGTGGTTCATTCTCTGTGTCCACTTTCTTGCTTCACTCCTCAGAATGGAAACACGTGTTACAGGTTCACAGACTATTATTTTACAAACAAGCCGCTACTCTGCGCTAATTGCGGATGTTTTAGGCACACTTTGTATGTTCGACTTGCGACGCGCAATGTTACATTTCAGTCAAACTGACTCATCCTATGGCCGGTTTTTTGTGAATCTTCTCTTTTGTGCTTTGGCTCTTGCCTAGCTTTCGCGTCCTGTGGCCTCCCAGCCCACTCACGGCCATTGCTCCTATTTTAAGATTTAATCGTACTCCACATCAGCCATCACGGTTACAGAACGATCGTCTCGTCCACTGCATATTGGAGAACAGATCCGCGAAACCATAGCTTATCCTTCTACCTATTCCTGTTCATAATCCGCTTTATCAGCTCTCCGCTATGCTTGGTGGTTCATCCGATCCTACTGGAGACCCACTGTGTGCACCTGGGTCACTACAACACTCAATAACATCGTATCACTGAGAACAGCTTGTGCATTTCGTTTGGCGTTTCTATTCTGGACAGATAGACCAATTGGTTGCACCTTCTCATACGCTTGCTACTCTAAATGTTGATAGGTGTTGCATTTCGAAATCTATGTCCCTGACGTGGTTAGCAAGCAATCTGCACCTATCCCACCCTCCGCCTTCTGGTTATGCACTTCTGCGGACCCTGCCACAGGGATTATAGGTGATTCAGCTCAGGAAGTGGGCGCTTACTGGTGGTTATAATTGAGAAAACGCCTCTGTTATGGTTGCGTAGATGCCTGATAAGATTGTCACTGGCACGATTGGAGTACGCCTACGGTAACGGATTGGAACGCTGGCCAATCGAACGGATTTGCGTTGACCTGACGGCGTTAGTTTAGCCCGGGGTACGCGCTGGTGAGACGGAAATTGAGCGAGCGTGAGAACGATCCTAGCCGCACGTATTCGGGTAGACGCTGAGCCCTCGGAACGGACGCACACGGAAGAGAGTTACGATAGACGCGCGCTAGTGACTTAGACGCGAAGGCTACCCGGCTAAGGACGCACACAAAGTCACTTGACCCGACCGACTCCCAAGTAAGGCAAAGAAGAAAGAAAGGCAAGTGGTCCTCTGTATGCTCTTTTATGACCAACAAAGGTCGAATCACAGCCAATGCTATGGGTTATTAAGTTAAGGAAAATTGCTACCACGACGAGGTGGTAGTTTCTAAAAGACCATTGTCAAAAGGTGCGCAGTTGGGCCGTGTTTCGGAGTGGCCGAAGCTTGCTGCGTTGTGGGGAGGAATAGGACCTCGCTTTCCACAGCCATTCTGGCGCGTTTTTGCGGGAATATTTGACGGGCCCGCAACACTGGTGGATTGGATTCCCGAGAACGTCATCTACATGCAACCCCTTTGGCGTCGGGCAATTTTATTGCTTGTTCCAACCGTCATCAGTGCAATTTGAAGAATGGTTCATTGTATTGCGTGGGCAGACTACTGTCAGGTTGCCCAGGCCTAGATAGGAGAACGATTAGGGTTCTCAACCAAAGCCTTTAGTTCAAAAACCTTACCTCAAGGCAGCGGGGTTTTGGCACTGGACTACAGAGCGCCCGTTTTATGGAGTAAGGAGCCACCCGCACACCAACCCCCAACTTGGAGGACAAGGTGACTGAGTTTGTCTCTCGTCTGACCATTGACCAATCTAGTATGAGTGGATCTGAAGGTGCAAAAAAGCACCACCCAGCATAGCTCAATGTATCACTGAGGCACACAAACCATCGCACCACGTTAAGGTCCAGTCTGGTTTCTTGACAGTGATTGTGACCTGTGCCCCTATCTTGCTATTCTACGACGTAGGGCTACCTTCTTAGTGATAGTCTCGGTTAAGCGAATAAGTTCCGCAGACCCTCCAAGCAAAGGAAGCTGAGTCTAAATTCGAGTTCACAAACAATGGTGAATGTCTTTTGCAACTGCACCTCGATCCTCACCTGTTTCTAAACTACAGTGCCTTCAGGTGCAGTGGATTCGTCAGTCATTCTACACTTCAGCTAGAGGTGAGGAGTAGTTCGGTTACATGGTAGTAAAAAGTGAGTGACAAACATAAAAAATCCAAGCAATAATGTTGAACTTTCGAATGTATTTGATCTCATTAGATAGAGATAGCACGCACTGAACCCGGCTAGCATCCCAACGGTCCCGAATTCGATGCCTGCTATCTCTACCTAATGAAATTGAATAAGTTCAGAACCGGGCGTGCAGTGCAATGTTTTTGGGCGGGCAACATGCGGTATCTATCCGCTTCAGCGGTAATGGCCCCAGCAATCGAACTGACCAAGGTTCACTGAAGCGATAATCGCGGTTCCCATTGAGATTGCGTGTCGTAATCCATTCACGTAACGGGTGCTTCAAAATGACCTTCCTATTAATATCATACTTTGTTTTATCTTCTGCCTCGATAATGGAATCATGACCGCAGGGTAGATTAAAGGGGATAAAGGGGGTTAGAGAAAATCATAACATACGCCAATTAGGTTGGTTCTTCGCCATCTCAATAAGTGTGTCCAACCAGGTATGTTTATCGCCGTTCGGTCTTAGACCAGGGAATCGAAGGGTATCAACCCAGGTCAAGTTCGAAGTGAGAGCTTTAAATTCTCTTGACCAAGTCATCGCTTGGCCTTTTCTCTCCAGACCCCGGGCGCTTAGGCAGCGCACGTCGCAGGAGTCGATGTGATGACTTGTGTACCATATGGGCCAGCCAGTCAAGAAGTCGACCACCTGGAGAGAACTCCAAACTATTTAATTCGTGTCCAGCGGATATTTCATGACTTCTTCAGAAGTGAATTTAAGTGGAAAAATTGACCGCGGGCATCCCTGTGTCACATTGCTAGTGAGATTAACGAGCGGCGAAAATTTATCATATGCCTGCACTCTGCTCGAGCGTAAAGCATTATCATAATATCTGTGTACCTCTCGGGTGCATCTCTTAACACTGACTTATCACGGGTACAAAGCGGGTGCTTAACAAGTTCCGTAGAATAGTTTTTGTGAAATGAACTATTCACCAATAGGTTTCATCTCTCCAAGCGGTTACTGCTTTGAATGCGCTGCTACAAGACGATGTTGTGAAACGGGCATTGAATGTCAACTCACAGAATAATGTATGGTGTATCTATAAGCGTTTTTTAGGAGAAGATAAAAGCCTTATCTCATGTACCGTTTGTTAATATCCCCTTGTGATCTACAAATCAAACATGAGGGCACGTTTGTTATCCTCCAGTGTCTCTTAGTTTATGCAGCCAAGTGATGGGAACTAAGAGCAACTCCAATTGCTTTTTTGTATATTCAAAGTGGATAGAGTTCTAAGCTTGACAAACCCGACGGGAAAGGCAATTCTATCGGCCTTAGTGGATGGTGCCCTATGTGAATGGGGTCATTCACTAACTGGTACACTAATATGAGACCCGCGTAGAAACAGGTAGCATCCACTTAAAATTCCCAGCAACTTCAGACTTTACTGCTAGAAGAGGTCACGTAGACCCCTAACGTTCTTCATTACCCTGCGCTGTGATGTTTAGCTCCTCGAGGTCGCGCCTCAACTACGGTTGCGAAGCTCGGATAGCTCATTCGAAGTGAAGGTTCATCTTTGTAAATATTCTTGGGTCAAAAGTCCGGAACGTCCTGCGCAACAGTCCGACGTACTGGTTGCCTCAGTACCTGCTCCACAGCCTTTTGAACAGGTCACCTTGTATAAGCACACCTAGTTCACATTCCTGTGGACTGTTTTGCAAGCTTTGGATCCCAAGCCCATAAATGTGGGCATGGGTATGACGAAGTTGAACAACCCGACATTTCTCTACTTTGAATGGCAAGATATTCTGAACTGGCTGATTCGAAATCGCTTCAAGATTACGCCAGAACTCATCATGGTCGACCAGCCATTTCATCGCTCTCCAAATCCTAATATCTTTTACGAATATTAGGAAGTCTGTGCCATTTGCCCTTGTTATCTCCTTATGAGATTCAAGCCTAGGCGAAGTCCTAGCACCGAGCCTTGTGGTGTCTAACCAAACTGCGCTCCATGTCACATCGCGGCACCGAATAAGAGGCAAATTTGAGGCCTAGCAACACGAGTAAAGTAGTGCTACCATAACTGAAATACACTAAAGATGAAAGATACTGTCCCGAATTTGACGAAACTTGACTTCCTCTTCACGAATCTTGTTTTCTGTATGCTTCAGTACGTACAGGAGAACGTGGGTGATAAATATCAGACTACTGCCTCCGTTATCATCCAGTCCCCAACTTGATTCCCCTTTAAAATTAGGACTAGAACGTAGCAGCTACAGTCGACTGTGACAGTTTCCCCGTACTTCGGTATCACCAATAAATCGTGTAAATTATTTACAAGAGCAGGTCTCCCGAATTTGAAACGGGCTAGGGGGTGTTCATTCGATTTTTTGTCTTGTTCAATTTTGAACGTCTGATCTCATGTTCGACTTCGCGAGAGCACGAATCCGAAAGCGGCCCAGGGAGCAAAGTGATCATTCGACAATGCTGAAGCTGACAATTCAGGCCAGTTAGGTTGGTTTTGGAATGTTCCACCTAACGCTTCAAGCATGTTGACAGGTTGTAGATAGGCCGTTCGCTCTCCTCGCATGTATTTTCTCGCTTACACCAGATCTACTGCTTCCCGTTCTCCATATCACACGATTACCAGAACCAGCGCCTTTTCCATCTCACCATGTGACCGTCAGGATTAGTTGTTTCTCCTCACACTGGCATGCAATTTTGTCCTGAAGTCTGAGAGTCTCATTGTGTTCGCTTCCATCCGGAATGTGTTAGCGAGCATGCGAAAGTTCTAGAGCGCAGAAAGCAATGGCAAATATACAACGGCTGGTCCCGCGCGACTCAAGGACTGAAGGGGCCCGCCACTCGGGTGGCGCACATCTAGCTACTCTTTGGAACTAGAGCAGATTCAGCTCACA